CGAATTTGTTGTTTGAAGACTTGTTATTATTTTGGGTTTAGTCGTTGTTGTTGTGGTAGTAGTAGTGGTAGTATTACAACAAGTAGAGGAACTTCGTAAGCTATTAGGGACATGCGTTTTTGTAGGAACGATGAATAAATTGGCTGCAAAAAGCATAAACAATAAAATTAAATTGAACAAAAATAATAAAGAATTAAGAAAAAAAAAACAAATAAAATTAAAACTAAAACAAACAATAAAAAATAGAACATTGTAAGCATTTTGGGGGAGATACATGATTGATATTCGTTTTAATACGACACTGAGACATTTCATATATATTTTTTTAATCAAATTTAATTAAAATTATTTTGTTAATAAGTAGCATTATTATTATTAATTATTTTTGATATTTCTTGCATCGTATTCAAAGTTTTGGACATTTTTTATTATCTTTCTTCTTTCTTATAGTTTGTAAGTATGTAAATATGTATGCATGTATGTTTGCTTTTTATATATAAACTATGATAAACAACTACATACACTTGTTTCAAATTCAAATAAAAATATATGTATAATAACAAAACAATTTAAAATTGCAATAGCAATCAAAATTCACAAACAAATATTTGTTTTAAACAATAAAACAGTATAAATTATGTTTATAAATTTATATGTATGTAGTATATGTAAAAAACTATACATTAAAAAAAAGCCCAGAACTCAGAAATTTGTTTTTGTTTCTAGTGTAGTTAGTTTAATGAACAAATATACGTATTGATCAGATCTGCATCATTTGAATTTTTTTATTATAATTCAAAACAAATTTATATAAAATCAATACAATACATTTCATTTTATCTTTATGTGCTCTGCAATCATTAGTATCAATTTTAACTTTAAATAGTTCTGTTAAAATTTCTTACAAAAAAAATTTATGTAAAATAATAAACAATAATTAGAGTGTTTGTTAAAAAAATTACAAGATAACTAACGGCAACATAAACAAGAAAATGTATTATTAGTTAAATAAATTGTAATAGCAGTGGTAGTAGTAGTAGGTAGTTGAAATAATAAGTTGTAGTAGTAGTAGTAGTCTTTCTAGTATGGAAGATAGGTATTTCAATAATTAAATAAAAATAATAAAAAATACAAATTGTGTTAGAGTTAAGAATTACTTTCTTTTTAATAAAAACAAATTTAAGATAGCAGGGCCATTATTGCAATGTACGGAGCACGAAACGCGTGAAATGGTTGTGGATGATTGATTGCCATATACAAATTTCTTTATATTTACATTTCCTTTAGTTGTGCAATTATTTCATAAATAATACAAATAAAACATAAAACTTTTGATTTAAAAAATATTACAATTTCATATTTATTTCATTAATATTCAAATATGATGATACACATACATATCTCTAGGTATATTAATATTTTAGAAATTACTTCTTAATCCTTAAATATTTAAAAAAAAACAGTTTAATAAAATAACAAAGATAAATATAATCATTGCAGCAACATACATATGCTTAGATATTGGGCCCTAACAGCAACAAAACCTTATGTAGATAACAGCACAAAACTCGTGAGGAAAATAGTTTTTCCAATTGTTTACACTTATTATCTCAATGTAAACATATAAGTATATAAGATGCTTCTAACATATAATTTTTTGCTTTATGTACATACGTAACGACAGCTGACACACCTACGACATTTAGGGATGTTATGTTATTTATAACTTTGAATACAAATTTGCATATTAAGCTGTTAGAGTTCGAATATGTATAATACAGTGCTGAAATATAATTGGGACGATTAAAAATTCCTTAAACAAAGAATATTATTTGAAAAAGACCAAAGACCATAAATTTAAATATATGATTGGATAAGAGACATTTTTTGAAATATAAAATGAAAAAATATGATGCACTTGAGTCGACTCCTAATTAAATAGCACTCATTTTCAGTTCCTAAATATTAAACATTTAGGTTTGATAAAGTTAAATATGTATGTCTATCTATTACTATATAAATGAAAACCATGTCAAAAATATATATGTACATCCTGTACAGAAGTAGTTATCGTCCTCATAATTGTATTATTTTTCAACAAATACATATTTATGTTAATAGTATGTATGTATGTCGGTTATTAAAAAATATAATATAATCCAAAAAGTTTAATAATTATTGCTGTCACTCGGGCAAAGAAAAATTGTATATTAAACTGTTTAGTACTCAATTTGTTTATGTATGTTTATTCGGCTGGCAATGTTCTCAACGTAAATATGTTTGTCCGAGCGCTAACTGCTGAGTGGCTATGGCAAAAGCGATACTTTTTGGAAGGCACATTGAAAATGGAGTTGTGTAACATTTAAGTACTTTTGTTGAATTGCAATTATTGTAATTTCGTTGTTGTTTGAACTTAAATTAAAAAACATATTTGATTTAAAATGCTACTTAACAATTATTCAATATATTATTGTAATATTAATTCATTATTCTCGCTGGCTTAATTTTTTCCCTTTTTTTTTGTATTGAGTACTCAATACTTCCACATTTCTATAATAACAGTATAATAATTAAACAATAAACTAAATACTTTGTGTTTTTATTTCGTTTACAAAGAAAGATACACAAAATGGTATTTATATCTTAGATTATTTGTTAATAGTTGGACAGACCTACTCGGACTGAGGCATGCCAATTATGTATTTTAGAAATAGTTTGCCATTTAGGCAAAGTTCTGATAGATTTTTATTAGCACTTTTAAAATGTATAAAAAACTTTGAATACGAACATTTCTAGCAAGTATGTACTCGTCGTATTAAATCGATTATTCTATTTCACTTATCTTATGTGATTAGCTGATAACAAAAAATATGAATGTTAGACTCAATTAAAAAGCAAGTTTTATTCTATTATGTGATATCAAAAATCACCTTGTTATACAATACAGCAATTACTATTTTTTTAAGTCAAAATAATAGAACTCATAATGAATAATTGCATATCGTACTCTTATTCCGTTAACCAGGCTCAATAATTTTAATAAAATTATTTAAACTTTAACAAACTCGTTTTGAGTTGTCTTAATTTGTTTAAATTTCAATGGATGAACACAGTTATACATACATACATACATTTTGACTCGTAATATAAGATAATTGTATAATGTAGTGTAATGGTGAAATATTTTGACATTTCATATAAAATTCAAATATTGAGGCGTTAATCGAAATAATTTACTTTTAAAATGAATCTTATTCAAAGTCAATTTAAAAAATATTTAAAATCAAATTACTTTATCACGAAATAATAAAGAAACTTTAAGTACATATTTAATTTAAATAATTATAAAAAAATTATTATGCACACGATTTTAAGACTCAAAATATTTCGTATTAAAAAAAATTATTTTTTACCCTATAATATTAAGAATATTTCTTTATACTATTTCATTTTTGTTTCATTTACAATGCTTTTTCGTTCTGGGTATGATGTACATATGTATGTATGTATATGTGTTCGTATCAACAACAAATGAAAAACTTATTTGAATTATAATTAAAGAAAAAAATGTGTAAACAAATATAAACTAAAGTGTCTCTTGATTTAATTTTAAAGCTGAGCCGGTATTTGGAGGATCTATTAATTTGTCTTGTGGTTGTGTTTTTCGTTTTAATTCTTTTGTTTGTTTTAACATTTCAAAATAGAATCAGAAATAATAAAAAATCTAACAAACAGCAATTAATAATTAAAAATATGTACTTCTTCTGTATGTAAACATTGGTCGTGTTTTAGTGATCTAGAAATTTACTCTTTAATCTGTGATATTCACCTCTTGGCAGTGTTGCACCAGTACGTGAAAACATGGAATCCATGTCACTGCCTAAATCTCGAGACATACTGTGGCGCCATGGTGCACCCATTGCAGCACTGTTGAGTCTGCTGAAATTATATGTAAAGTAACAGTTGTATTAATTATATTATAACATGTTCTTTAATAACTTAAGGATAAATAAAATTAAGCAGCCAAGTGTATATTATCACTTGGCTGCTTAATTTTATCACTTGGCTCTTAATTTAAATTAGTCACATTTTAATTACAAAATACACATGTGAAATTAACTCTAACAGTTACACAATATTAATTATAATTATACAAATTTATTCTTTTTAAAATTCATTCGTAATTAATAATTACATTACATGCAATCGTCTTACTTTCGTTCTTCATTATTAAGAACTAATTGTGGAATCTGCACCGGAAATTTTACAGTTACATGCTTTTGATATTCATATTTGAGACGTCTGTTTGTAAAATCTGTTATGTTATCTGAAAGACCAATCTGTTGACTTTAAAATAAAGGCTTAATTTATCGATAGGTTTACGACATGATATCTCCAAAACCTGAAGTGTTAGTTTCTCACATTTTTGCCACAACTGCGATGTAAAATTAAAGGATTTTTTGAAAATGCCAGTTTTTACCAATAATTTAGTTAAAATTATAATTTTATTTGGCGTACAGCCACTGAACAGATTTAAATCAGAACTATTTGGAATGGGATTAAAACCATGAACTAATATTAATACAGCTCTGCTGATTTTATATAAAATTCCGATTTTTATATTAAAAAAATATGCTTCATAAATTTTTAATTTTATGAATTTTAATTTAATTTAATGAATTCAGATTATTAAAATTTTTGTCATTCCAATACCTTAATTTTCACAGTTTTTAAATCATTTTTGTAGCATTTTCTTCGTTCTTGTATAAGCGAGGTTTACACCAAAATTCTTCACAAAAATAACATAAGATCTAGTTTTAAACTATTAACTTTAATGCAACTGTGAAAACTGATTTTTCTAAAGCTACGATCAGATTAGTAATCAATTTGACGAAAAAACATAGTCTCTAATCTTTGCAAACGTTAATTTGGTTTTACACACGATTTTTTTTTTAAATTTATAATAAAACTGGTGAGATTTTATTGATCACGTCATTTTCGTTAAATATTTTAATAATATTTAATAAAATTTTAAATTTTCTAATAAAATATTTCCTATACATATTTGGGTGTATCAGTTTTGGTTATTCAAAAAAAAAAAAAACATGAAAAATAAAAATGTATAAATAAAAACATAAATAAAAAATGGAAACATTTTTTAATTCAAGTTTAAACTCAAGTTTGCGAACATTCCCAGCAAAAAATAATTGATGTCATACTTTACAAACTACATCTTAATCACATCTTAAAATGCGATTACATATTTTTCACTTTTATAAACCAAATATTTCCTTACAAATGAAACCCCAGTTAAAAGTGAGGAAAGAGATGTGGAAAAGTCATTACAAATAACATATTTGAAGTACATCAGATTTGGTGAAAGAGTAGTGAAATTTACATAAGCGTGTCATTAAGAGAATGTGTTTTATTTTTGACATCCAAATATCGGATTTTTACTGCTTCTAAAAATAAGATTAGATGTAGTTCAAAGTTGCCAAAAATGAACAACATCCCTCCAATGACACGCTAATGTAAAATTCATAGGTTTTACACCCGAATTTGAAGCACTTCGGGTTACTAGTTGTGATGAAAATTCTACATCTTTTTCCACACTTTTTTTGCTGGGTTTTTAGTGTAAATCTCGCATTTTTTTTTACAAAAAAAAAAACAATTAAAAAAACAGTTATGACTTATCGATAATTTTCACTTACTAGCAAAAACACTTTGAAATAATACCAAATATTATCCTACTTAATCGATAGAAGAATTGCCTCAAACTAAAAAACGTAGAAGCATATAAGGGTAGGTTAGAGTAAAAATTTATTATTTAACTAATTTAACACACATATTAGCGGTTTTAACGGTGTAAGATCTGTTAAAAAATAATACTGTTTACTGAACACAACGACCAAAAATACTTTTTTTTTTAATTTACTACGCTGAAAATGTTATTTTTACTAACAAAAACAAACAGCTGTATATGCACATACATTCATATGTACATATGTATGTATGTATGTATGTACCCTGCCAGCAATTTTGTAGTCGACTACGAGAAAAATTCACTTCTAGTTTACTTTTACAGACTGACTATAAGCTAACTACAATGTAATGCAGAGCTGTCCCGAAATTTTGTATTTGGCAACGTAAAGAACCGACTTTTAAATACTAACTACAAGCTAACTATAATGTAATGCAGAAGTGCCTCAAAATTATCTGGAGAGAATTAACTGTATTTCAACATGTTTTCTCTTGTTTCTCTATTATTATGATTTTATTTGTTGACTTTAGTAGACTGACTATAAACGAACAACAATGTAATGCAGAAATGTTCCAAAATTTGGTATTTATTAACGTAAACAACCGACTTTTAAAGACTAGCTGCAAGCTAACTATCATATAATGCGGGAGTACCCCAAAATTATCTGGAGAGCATTATGTTTCGACATGTTTTCTCATGTTTCTTTATTATTTGGAATTTGTTTTACATTTTTGTCATTTCCTTGTATACGTTGTGAAATTTGAGTCAGTAAATTGGAAAAATTAATCATAAAAGGTTAAATATTTTAAAACTCGGTCCCTAAATTCTAAATTCTGCTGATTAATACTGTAAATATAATACATTAACAGTTAACATTACACAAAACATTTTCAAATTTATTTTAGATTTGGATCAATGGGAATCATGGAAATAATGAACAAATCATTCATAATTTTATGGGTACCGGTGTTATTATTAGTTCCCCTGCAGAAAACTGATGTCTATTAATTTTAACGAACTAATATCATAACTTGTATTAAACCGAAATGTAATTTAGATAACTAGTAGTTAAATTTTAAATATATTTAATTAAAATATAATTAATTAATACAGTAGGGAATTCAAAAGAAAACTATTGCTTGACTTTTCTGCAACTAACTTTAAGTTAGTTAATAAAGAGTTACCTTTAAGCTAATTTTTTAGTAACTAACTTTAAGCTAGTTGAAAAGTCATGCAGAGTCGGACAATTGACTACTGCGTATGACATCACCATGTTAAAATAGTCAGTTGGCTCCATTAAAAATAATCCAAGAATCAACCATAACTAGTTGATGAAAAAGTCGGCTTTTAATGCATTTAAAGTTAGTTGAGTTGCTGGCAGGGTATGTATGTATGTATGTATGTATGTATGTATGTATGTATGTATGTATGTATGTATGTATGTATGTATGTATGTATGTATGTATGTATATATGTATGTATTTAGAAACATAAATGAACAAATATACAAAACCTTATTAAAGATTGTAAACAAATGGATGATGTACAGATGAAAGATGTAGTACATAAAAATACGTCGTGGAATAATCTAATGAAGGTTTGTCCATGGAACATACAATTTTTAATAATTCTTTTGAATATTTAAAAACACAAAAAAAGTGATCATGTTCTGTAGAAAAGCCAGATTAAATGTAATATAAGTACGTATGTATATGAAATCTATATGTACACCAATAAAAGTAAAAACCCCTATTATGTATGCGTATGTGTAAAACGATTACAATTATGTTAAAATATTCGGTTTAAGAATACTAAACATTGCCCTACCTAAAATTTTTTTAAAAACTTAAAAGTTAATTTAATCACTACAATTCCAATTGCTCTAAGTGTTATAATAGTTATTTTTCATGCATATTATAATGTTAACAAGTATGAGTTCTATATTCGTCCGTGCCGAATCTTATACACCCTTCACCATATACCCATTATTAAAGAAAAAACAATAACAACATACAGCTTCATATGAAACTGTATGTTTCTGTTTTTAGTTATTATCACATTTTCATAACTTTTTTCGGAAACTTGCTAATATCTTCGTAATTTGTGGACCAATTTTACTTATTTTATTAGATTGATAAAATTATTCAAGATTTATTCAAGAAATATCTGCGATCCTCATAATTTTTTTTCAACAAACATACATACGGACATAAATCGACTACATATGTACATACATATATTCTGGAAATTAGAAACGGAATGGCAAACTTATATGCCCTTTTCGGGAAGGTGAAGGGTGAATTAAAAAAAAAAATAATAAAAAATCCCTGTTGCAAATGAGCGATACCTAGTGTAATTATACCAATATTAGAAAGAACAATAATAGTGCGTGTAACAACATGTGTGTACCTTAGAGGTGCCCCAAAATATACATTTTTTGGATGGGTATTATTTTGTTTTAGTCAAATCGGAAAGCGGGAACCCGTACCGGCCCAGTGGAAATCAATATTTTTTGGGCACCTCTATTGTATTGTATACATATGTACATTAAAAGTGTTCAAAAATATGAATTTTGCTTGGATGGTTCTCATTTTGTTCATTAGCGTCTAAAACTAACACGGAACGGGAACCCGTGCCGTATCTGATTGGACTAAAATTTAACACCAGTTAGTTTTAGACCCTAATAAACAAAATAAGACCCATCCAAGCAAAATCGATATTTTTTGGAATCTCTAATGTACATGTGCATATACATATGTATGTACATATTAGAATATACTTCTGTAAGAAGTGTACGCGTGCTATATGTAGTAGAAACATAGTATATGTATTTTTATTTAGAAATAGTCCCACGGAAAGAAGAAAAAAATCTGAGAATGTAAATGGAACATTATACTTACACTTGTCTTTTCTCAATTGTTTCACTGTACGTGTAACTCACTTTAGATCTATTTTATTATTTTCAAAATTGTTTATTTTTTGTAATTATTGAAACAATTTTTTATTTGTTCCAAAAATTTATATGAAATTATGTAAAATGCAGTAGTCGACACATACACCACAACGTTTATTACAACAATGACAACAAAAATTGATCCATGATTTAAGTATGTGCCATGTCATTTGGACGTGTGCAATTGGGTAATTTCATTTGGTTTTTGATTTATCATAACGATTTTTCATTATTAGATCAGTTTAACAATTATTTTTTATAGTTTTTTGTTAAAAAGCGCAGCATGTAAATAAAATGTAAAAAAAATATTAGCTTTTAAAGTAATGCAGTTAGTGGCATTAAAATGAATTTAAAAAATATGCAAAATATTAAAAAAAAAAAAAAAATATATAACAGAAATTTATAATATTTCTCACCTGCCAAATGGTTCTTGATTCCAAAAAGGACTTTGTGCCTGTCTCATATTGCTTAGAAGACGACTTGAACTGGGAAAAGCTGTAGTAATATCGTTGTTTACATTCATACGATTGGTGAGGGCCCGGACCTATGTAAGAACAGATATTTTATTAAGTAAATATGCTGAACAGTGTTACAAATTAGTAAATGGGTTTGTTGTGAATTACACGTCTTGTTGAGAGAAGGAACATTTAATATTATATGTATTTAATATTAGCTCATTTTCTAAACGTTTAATGTCGCCTTTTTGCAACTAAATTGTCATAGCTCAAATTCCAAAAAAATCAATTGTTTTAGGTATGCAAATGTCTTTTATTATAAATGTCAAACTAACAACATTAAATAAAAAACACTATCAAAATAAACGGTGCGTATATCTGTTTCATATTTTCAAACCATTGATTTTTGTAAAAACTATTTAAAGAAAGGTAAAATGATATTTAATTGCAAATGAATGTCTAATGAAATATAGTATTTTTAGTTTGGAAATATGAAGATATTCACTTACACGTTGCAATAGTGTTGAAAATAGATTTTCCGCTGTTAAAATTTCAAAACCATCATCATCATCCTCCTCTCCAGAACTCTGTGAATCATTTTCTTGACTTATTTTCTTTACTGGCCTTGAGCTTCTGCAAACAGAAAATATGACAAATATTCAAAATTATCTATTATCGAATTATTTCGCTAATTCGTGAAGATTTTGAAACTTGCTCTTCTACAATATTTTTCTAGAACAACATCGAATTCCTCGATGTAATTTGTTTTCAGAATTTTGCGTAGATACCCAGCAAAAAATAATTGATGTCATACTTTACAAACGACATCTTAATCACATCTAAAAATGCGATTACATATTTTTCGCTTTTATAAACCAAATATTTCTTTACAAATAAAAACCGAGTTAAAAGTGAGGAAAGAGATGTTGAAAAGTCACTACAAATAACATATTCGAAGTACATCAAATTTTGGTGAAAAATTAATGAAATTTACATAAGCGTGTCATTGAAAGAATGTGGTTTATATTTGACATCCAAATATCGGATTTTTACTGCATCTATGAATAAGATTAGATGTAGTTCAAAGTTGTCAAAAATGAACAACATCCCTCCAATGACACGCTAATGTAAAATTCATAGGTTTTCCACCAAAATTGGAAATACTTCAAGTATGTTATTTGTGGTGAAAATTCTACTTCTTTTTCCTCACTTTTTTTGCTGGGTATATGTATAGATTAAACTTACCTTAATTTGTGTAAAGTAAAACGAGTATCATCATCACCATCACGAATAGAGGAAGATGTGCGTAATTTTTGGAATGGAGATCCTTCATCGACTCCAGTTTCGCTTAGCAGTGATCTAAAATAATAATTAGTTTACATTACATTTTATACATTTTATATATATTTGAATTAGTGAATGTACTTGTTTGGAATATTTTTTGCTTATGAATAGTTTGAAATAGTTTAAAATCTTTAACAATGGAAATTTGAGAGAAATCGCTCAGTATAATTCCTATCGCAATAACTCTCCGAATAAACATGCATTAATAAAAGGAGTATAATTTCATTATCGGTTTCTTTCAACTGTAATTGAATATTCCATTTCACAACTAATTCCCAGTAAGTATTCGATATGCACACTATTGGATTAGTCTTATTTTGTTCATAAGTGCCAAAAAAAAAATAACTAGTGACAAATTTTAGTCCAATCGAGTAACAGGAATCCATGCAGAAAATCGATTCAATTTGTAAAATTAGGTACAAAGTTATTTACATTTTCTTTACTCACTTTACAAGTGATGTAAACAATAATTTTCTACACAAATATGCAAATAGGTTATGCGGAAAGATAAGGTTTATCCCATTTGACAATTTTTTATTGATTTCTTTCACGGGTTCCCGTTATACGATTGAACTAAAATTTTATATCAGGCAGTCTGATAGAAAATTATTTTTTAATATTACTTACCCTATACGTCGGGTTGGGCGCAATCGTGTAAATGTTGATCGACTTGATGTTGTACCAGTTGTATGACTGGATTCTGACGGTTCTATGCTACCCTCACGAGGCGTTATAAATCCACCGCCCTCCACAGCAATAGGTATAATGAATTCTCGAGGACTTTTCTTGATGGGCTGCGAGGAACCAGTTATTGTCGCTTGCGACATATTTGTAGTTGTTGTGTCCGACTCAGAATCATTGGTCGATTGGCGCGACAACGATCCAGATCTGTTAAAAAAACACGAGAGTTTAAGCAATAAACTTATAGGATTAGCAACATTAAGTTTTTCGCTATCTTACCTATTTGTTGTATTTGAAATTGTCCGTGCGTATGTTGATGGTGGTCTCTGAATAGGTATAACATGTTCTTTGGGTTCTAAGCTAGATGCTCTTTGACTTGTCGTTGTCTTAATAGGACTATACGGAACGGGACCTTCTCGTGGTGGAGCGCTACGCAGATCAGCGACGGGGTGCTGCATCTCTGTAGTGAAACGCATTGATGGTTGTTCTGCAATTGGTGGTTTAATATCCAGCTGAATTTCAGTTTTTGCGGTTTTCCGACGCGGCAAAGTAGCCGATTTGAGCGTTATTGATGCCGTTGATGTTTTCATAGTACCAGCCGATGGAGAATCGCCTGACCCTTGAGAAACTGTTAAACATTTTTATTTAAATAAATTATTAATAATTAACAATGGATAACATATTAAAATATACATATATATATTTATTATTGTTTAATTTATAATTCCATATGGTTGTTTGTATATACATACATACATTAAAAGCATATTTTTTGGGTTTGCTAACACATAACATATTTGATGTTTGAAAGAGGGATAGAGAATAAGAAAGGTAAGCATAAGATACAAATTTTAATTTAATGAATGGAAAGAGTAATAGAGTAATAATATCAATTCCCTCATTTGTTATCGAAAACGTCAAAAACATTATTCCTTTTGTAATTATCGATCACCTCTTGAATTAGGAAATACTTTCGAAGGTCGAAACTTAAAAAATGTTTTACAAAAAATTTTAATCTGAGAACAAACTTTGGAAAGAAGATTATGGAAAATATATTGAACTAGTGTGCGGTATGTATCTACAATAATTAATAATTCTACAGTCAAACAACAATTGTTATTTGAAATGAACGAACGAACGAATCAACTAACGACAGCTAAACTTACATTTCCACAATGGCGATTGAGATGCATTATAGAACGGTTTTGGCGTACTGTTAATGTTTATGACATTGCAAGAGTTGGTGATTTTTGTAGCGCCTAGTGCTTTTGCATTGGCGGCGGTGTTGGTAGCTGTGGAACCAAATGGCTGTGTCGGCAGTGGGTGTTGTGGTTGTGTAAAGGACGACGGAAATGATGTTGATGGCAAAGGTGAGCTCGATGACGACGACACAGAGGATGAAAAATTCATATTATGGGGTGATTTGAATTGTTCTTTTCCTGTACGTTTTGATGGCGATAAACAAGCTACAGTTTTTTGCATGGTGATCGGTTGGACAGAACTACCAATACCACCAGCAGCTAAACGTCCCATTAATGTGTGCCGAGCAGCGGCGAGGGCAACGTTTGCATTTGGTGGCTGAGTTGAAGTGTTAGACAATGACGGATATTTTCGATAGCCTATTGGAAGATCGCGATAGTAGTTATTTGCATGATTTTCAGTAGCAGGTGTACTACTCGTTCCCAAAAAACTCCCACTAACCGCACGCATTTGAACATAGCCCCCGGAACCGCCCCCGCCGCCGTTGCCGAAAAACGATAAAGATGTTAATGGTGGTAGTGGTTGTGGCCTGTGTAAAACTAAAATATATATATGATGAGCCAATGATGTGATGAATCTACAATACATACTTATATGTATGAATATACTTAATACAAACATATGTATATACTATACATACACATATACATACATTGTATATACTACATACATAAATATCTACTAACACACTCAGTTAGTCAACCCATAATTTCCTAATGGAAATGGAATTATACATATACACGGCAAAACAGTATATATAGTCTCGCAATTACAAAAATTATACATACCTGGTTGAATTGCATTTCCAATAATCGCACGAGCATTAATTAGCTTTCGTTCTCTATCAGTTGCAGTTTTGGGGACCTGAGAGTCGCTGACATGTATATTCTCCGTTTTGGCACATAGTTGGTTAACATCTTTGGAGGACTCTGTCTGAGCTTGACGCAACAAGGCAATTGAGTTTTCCATCGAACGTCGAGCTTCGTCCAATGAAAAGGAAGTTACGGATGCCTTTGAGTCACTGGCTTCAACAGGTACGGGATCAATGCTTTCACATGGAGGACTTTCATTTTCTCCAGTTGTCGTTGCAGCAGCGGCTGCAGCAGCAACTTGTTCCAATGCACGACGTTCTCCTGCAGTAAGTTGTTGTCCCTGATTTCCAGTCCCCGTAGAAGCTTTGCGCTCGTATTCCTTTTTAAAATTACCAACACTTACACCGGGAATAATGAATTTCTTGCCCTTATCGCCAGTATTCGTATTGGAAGCATTCATTTGTTGAAATTTTTCTGCTGTTTCAAGTATACGAGATTTTCTGCGTTCTGCATTAAATTTATTCAGCGGAGATTCATCTTGTAAACTGCACTTGCGAACGAATTGCGGGCCTCCACTAGTTGCTGTAGATACGACGCTATCAGGGTTGATTTGAGTTTTTAAAGATTTAGGCTCATCCGGATCTATTTGTCCAATGACATTGACCAAATCCGCCGTTTTATGTTTATTCACAAACTTCTTTATCACCTTCGTTGCACCTTTTGTCTTTTCCGGAGAATCTTCCACCGTATCGACATTGTTATTATCTGCTAACATTCCCAAAACATTACTCTTTTCTTTACCAATGTTGGCGTTTTTATCTTGTATTAATTGTTCACACAAATCATCAACCAATTCCATGTCTTTCGTGGAAAATTCTTCTTTTTTCGCTGCTGCCATTTCATCCGTTTCCATGGGCACACTTTCTTCAACTAAAGAAGTCGTCGTTACTCTCGATCCAGAGGCTCCTAACCCTCCTGTTACTAATTCATTTGTCAACACGTTAGTAGCACTATCTTCGGTTTTATCTTTCTTTTTTAAGGCTACACCTACTGCATTGTCTGTTGATATGGTATTTTCGAGTTTTCGTTTGGTCTGAAGTGGACTTTGTGCAGGAGTGATGGTACGTGTGGGAGATGGCATAAGAGCTGCTTCACCACCAGCTTTAAAATGTACAGAAAAGGGGGAAAGATGAGTCATGGCGTTAAAATAGATACTTTTCAAGTTTAGTTCACTATGAGCGCATTATAATAAATTTCATATTAGATCGTTATTAGATTATAAGGAACAGGGGACATGTGGGAAAGGGAAGATCGGAAAGGCGACAATGGTATGATACAAATGTAAAATATTAGACATCAAGACAACTACATACTGATATTTAAAATTTTAAGGATAGTTTGATAGGTATTTATTTCAAGGTTTATTTTGCGTATGTTTTTGTGTGAGTGTGTGTTTGTTAACTTACCTGCAACCATGTCCAATATTCGACGTTCAGCTTCTGTATTAGGAACTACATCGCGTATTGAACCAACAGAATGGCTTCGTGGAATGACAGCATTTTTTCCTGCTGAATTTCCACCATCAGCAGAAGGTACTACCAATTGTTCCGCTGTTACAGCCACTGGCGTCAACGATAGAAGAACATCTAATCGTACTGGTGTTTGATTAGCTAGATCTTCAGCCAATTCCAAACAAGATACATTATCATTCTCATTGACCCACCAATGTGAGCATATCTGTTCAATTGTAGCACGCTTGCGAGGGCAAACCGTTAGCATCTCACGAATCAAGGAAGATGCTCTAGACGGTTTCTTTGGTTCATAATAATCCCCTTGGCTAATTTGCTTTACAAGTCTTTTAAAGTTTGATCCGTCAAATGGCATTGATCCGTATACTAGGGTATAAAGGAGAACACCTAGAGACCAACAATCGACTTCAGGTCCATGATATGGAGTGCCTTCCACAATTTCAGGCGAAGCATAGAGTGGAGAACCACAAAATGTCGCCAGCAAACATTGCTCGGTGAAAACATTCGATAGACCAAAATCGGCAATCTATATTATAAATTTATGATAATTAATGTTTACACGCTTTCATACAATTAACACCTTTTTAACGAAAGCGGAGTCATCTCACCTTTGCATTACCGTGTTCATCTAATAGAATATTTTCCAGTTTCAGATCTCGGTGACAGATTTTATGTTTATGACAATAATAAACAGCTGTAGCTACTTGTCGAAATATTCGACGAGCCTCCTCTTCACTCAAGACTTTACGCTCAGATAAATAATCATACAGTTCACCGCCAGCAGCGAACTCCATAACTAAAACCATTTTTTCGCGATTTTCAAATACTAAAATCGAATAAGACATTTATACAGTTCGTTACTATTATCACATGCAAATTGCATCTAAAATTCTCCGTAATCATACCTTCATAGATGTGTATAATATTTGGATGCTGCACAGAACTCATAATCTGTACTTCTCTTCGTATACGTACTAGATCGGATTCTGCTTCAATTTTACATTTCTTTATGGTTTTTATTGCCACTTCTTGTCCAGTCTCTTTATTAATACCTAACTGTACTTTACCATACGTTCCTTGTCCCAGTTTCTTTATTATATCGAATCTGAAATCATACATCAATTCAATTTGGTCATTATTTAACACTCACATGTCAAAGCAACATACATACATATGTAGATATACATATATGTATGTACATTAGGGTAATGACTTTTTTTGGGCTTCAAAATACCATAGCACTGCCTTATAGCTAATACTTTCCTGATAATATAATGCTATTTTTTAAGTTAATTCGGTCAAAAAACTTCCCGCACCGAAAAAAATTTCTAAAATGCTTTCGTTCGTTATTTTTCAAAAATTATTTTAATAATTTTCATATAAAAGTATACTATTTTCTATAACATGCAATATTATCGCGATTTGTTAAAATTTCCATAACAAGGATTTAAAGAACAATGTTCTCTTTAAGATAATGTAATACAAATGCAAAAAGGTTGGCAAAAATATTTATTTTTCTCATATAGAAAGAGTAAAATTTATACAAAACTTCATCGCCTTTGGTGTGGGAACATTTTTCACGATCGCGAACAAATAATATCATATTCCTTAATATCATATTCCTATAGTTCACGCCCTACAAGCTCTTGCTATGGTATTTTTGATATTTGCAAAAATGTACATACTATTGTCAAATTTACAACAGGCGTTGTAGCGTTGTATTAATTAAAAAAATTACGACGGCGATTGTGAACTACGCATAAGGAGTGAGATGTTTACAAAAAATTTGCGATTTTATTAACAAAATACAAAAGGCCCTATCTACAAAAACTTTTAAATATTACGGATAAAAAGTCCAATTTATCCATTTTAGATAAATTCAACTTTTTAACTTTAATATTTAAATGTTTTAGTAGATTGGGCATTTTGTTTTTGGTAATAAAATCGAAAATTTTGGTTCGAGGAGTCCAATTTTGTTTTTGGACATTTGTTTTGATGCAATATATTAGAATCAATAATAAAATCGATTTTGAATTTATGGTTAGTTAGGGCCGTTTGCGTTTCAGGTGAAGATATATAATATTTATATTTACCTTTGTCTTAATTTTTTTCTGTGATTATTCATCTTTACATCACCAGTATTGGCAATGCCGCTCATAATGTTATCGATTTGGTCTTGTGGAATACCAGATGGATGGGATCCATTGTTGGTCCCACCAGTATCTTGATTGCCTATTACCATTTTGTATCGCTTCTTTTAAATGCTAAAACTGTACATAAGAAAAAACAAAATAAAAAAATAACTTTACTATCGTTATAATATACTTATTACATAGAGGAGATAGTTTAAAAAATTAAAATTTAAAAAAAAATCGTTTTATATTTTTAGACAGTCACTTACAGACAGTGGAATTTTTTAATAGTTTTTTGTACATTAGACAAATATATTAAATATTTTTTAGCATTTTGAAACGTTTCTATATAAAAACAATAAACATTTATAATATTTTTTATATTTTCTAGTGATTGCATTGAACATTATTATTTTGTATAATTTTCTGTTACACATACAGCTCACCTCTCAAAAGGAAAACACGATTAATTGAATACTTATTAGGGTGATCGATTATTCGACATTTTCCAAAAACCGGTGTTCAAATAGTTGACATTTGAAAAAAACTACATAGTTGTTATTTTTCAAATTCAGAAGAAACGATTTTCATTATTATATGTTTAAAATTGTATAAAAAACATATGGCAATATCGTGTCAAGTGACCGAACTTTCATCTGTCTTCCGATTTGGATGAAATTTGCACCAAGGTTAGTACTATTGGATGGTGTCCAGACACAATTTGGTCAAGAACTGTAGGACTTAGGGTGGGTCAAAGTTAGACATTTTGGTCATGCAAGGTTTTGTTCAAATGAGTATAACTTTTCACCTATTGCTCCTAGCAAAAATTGCAAAGGCGTTCAGATAACTATTTCTTCATTGTTTCCAAAAAAATCTTAATTTTTTTTTTCAAACAACTCCTCTTTTCCTCAGATGAAAGCTTATGCAATTTCCTTTAAGGGCTTTATAGTCCTATAATGGGATGCGAGTGGGATATCTATCAAAAAAATTATTGTTTAACTCAAGAATAAGATTTTTTTTCAATATTTGGCACTTAATTTTCAGCTTTTTTCTGAAAATGGAAGTTTTTTTTTTGTTTTTTTTTTTTTTTTAAGAAAAGAAAGCTTAACTCGTTGACTCTCACCCAAAAAATGATGAATCTACTAGAGCCCTGCATGAGTAACTCTATTTGCTACACACAATAAGTGACTCATTGTTTCGCACTCAACTCATTGTTTGTTTAGAATAGTATTTACAAAGTCTTGTTATACTCAAACGTTATGAATACTATCAAGCGAATGTGCAACTACATTCAAATCGAGTGAGTAAACAATTTGTTTATGTTAAAACAATACAAAATAGATTGTTTGAATCGAATGAATCGATTCAAACTTTTTCTTGAATAAATGGTGAAAATTTTGAATGCTATTAAAACTAGTTCCCGTGGCCCGAATTCGCAGAAATTTGGTAGTCTTGAGTACAATTGATGACAATATTTTGTTCGAATATTCGAAATTATGTTCGAGAATTCGAAGTTATGTTTGAAATATTTTGTATGCTTTTAATTATTCTTTGAGTCAAAAAAAAAAAAAAAAAATTTAATTTTAATAAAAAATTTTGTTGGTATAACAAAACTATATTATTTTATTGTTTAAATAATGTTGACACATTTTAAAAACATGTCTTGTACTCCGATTTATAGTGAAATAAATATTGAAAAAAAGTAACACTATATGACGGCTATAGACGTCATTTGCATCTACGTGTTAAACCATTTACCTCAGGACGCTTTATCTGTTCTGCAGAAAATTTTTAGGAGATGCCTTGGTAATAGGTATCTACCAAAGAGGTGGATGGAGGTTAGGGTTATTTTTATACCCAAGGCCGATGAGGCAAGCCACTCAATGCCAAAGGTTTTAGACATATAAGCCTTTCTTCTTTTCTTTTGAAGGCGCTTGAGAGACTGATAGATCTTCATCTTAGGAACAATATTGATTGTCACATCATTAGTGGCGCTCAGCATGCCTACCTTAAGGGTAAATCTGTTGAGAGTGCACTGCATGAAGTGGTAAGTTGTGTTGAGCACGGCTTGAAGAATAGGGACTATACTCTTGCCGCGTTTTTGGATATTGAGGGAGCTTTCAATAGTATAAAGATTGAGGCGATTAGAGATTCGCTTATAGAGCTTGGAGTTCAGGATTTCATGGTGAAGTGAAGCATGCTTAGCAGCAGATTTATCAACTCGAACCTCATCATTACATAAGGAGAAGGGTTTCGAGGGGAAAATCGCAGGGGGTTGTCTTATCAAGGAAAATTTCTATCCACGATCAGTGACATCATGGAAACTGCACTAGGTGAACTCTCGTTATGGACGAAGGATAAGGGACTAGGAGTAAATCCTGGGAAAACGGAACCGGTACTATTTACTAGAAGATGCAAGGTTAACATTAAACGGTCCGATCCGAGAGATCCGATGGCCAAAATATGCTACCAAATAGGTTCCACGACGAAATTGGGGATATTGCGGGTCTTGACTCTCGCAATTTACTAAGTTTTATTAAGGGCATTAGTCTCTTCTCCGACTGGGCTTTATAGGGGGACGAAGATTTTCTCTCTTATCTCTTTATGCTTTGGGGTACTGACTTGTTAATTATATCTATAATTTTACCTTCTTTTATGGCTTTACTTGTAGTGTTTTTATTTGTTTCTCTGTTTTTGAATCTTCACTCTTTGAAGGGAATCGCAATGGAACTTAAGGTCTCCGAGTCGATATGCACCATTTTTTTATGGTGTATAATCTTTCTTAACCAAAACCAAGCTTAAACCATTTACTTTAAGAGCTTTATGGTTACTTAGTGGGATACAAAGTTACACTCATTTCAATAAAACACTGTATGACCAAAAAGTCCAACTTTTACCCCCTTTAAGCCCTGCAGTTCTTGACCGATAGAGCTGAACATTTGTCCATCCAAGTCAATTTTTTGACTTGGGTCACTTGAAACGAAATTTCCCGAACTGACTTTTAACATTATAAAAGATAATAACTTTAGATCTAGTCGTCTGATTTATACAAAATTAGGAAAAAAAAGTGGGACACTTTTGTTATACTTAAGGAAACTAGGTAATCCTAGCTTATTCAACAATCCCTTAGTTTTATGACAAAAGTTTAGGTAATTCTCAAATACATCCTATCAGTCCCATGTTTAGCACCAAAATTAAATAATTCATCTATCAACAATTTCTTATGGTTAATAAAAAAAAAATATATATTAAATAATTACGGAAATAAAAAAATTAACGAAAGCTTGTTTTAAAAAATATATTTTAATCCCTGCAAGCAACAGTTTTGTTGAATGCAAAGCAAAAATAAAAGTAGTCGAAACCGATTTTTTTAAATTAAAAAAAAAAACGGTTTATTTGATATTCGAAAAATCAACATTTAATAAAAACGAAAAGTAGTAAAGCATAAAAAACTGTTTTAAAAGCGGTTGTCAAACCGAGTAGCAAAAACTATTATTAAAGTTCGCTATGATTTAAAACGAAGTTTTTATATGGAAAAAGTTCTAAGTATACCATTGTTAACTTTAACCAACGCTTTAACTTTCGCATAAGGCATAATGATTATATAGTATTTATTAATTAGGTTTCGTTCCAAACTACAAAAATTTTTTTTTTCTCAATGATTTTGAGCGAATTTTTTGCAGAGCAGAAACTGCAGAATAGAAATCATGCTTTAGTCATTAATTTCATGAAGAATGTGCTTAATTCACCCCTTTATAACGCTCCAAAAGTGCATTTAGGATTATCTAAAGATGCATTTAAAAAAAAATAAAAATATTTCTTTCTTTGCGCATAATCAAAGTATTACGCTTTTTGCTGAGAAAAATTATGCTAAAACAAAAATTCTATCATTAGACCTTTCTATCGTTATAAGTCCAAAAATTTGTAATTATACAAGTTATATATGAAACATCAATTTGGTAGAGTTTTATTAAATGTAGAGGTAATGGTGAAAAAACCTTTGTTGGATGGGAAATTATTAATCCACAAATTAACATTATTAACATAATAACTCCTAAACGGATTATAATAAATAAAATGTTTAACACTATTTCTAAGGGTATTTACGATTGAAAAAATCAAGTTTAGAATTTAGCACATCCAAATTCAATCAAATTATGTTCATATATCTTAACTTTTCCTGTAGAATTGTATAAAAAAGTTTTTGGTATATACAAAATCTCGTCCAAAATCAGTGTTTTGGCCGCAGATATGCAGATGAAAGAGTTGGAATTTAAACAAAAAAAATTATGCCAATATTATTTATGATCCAAAAACATGCACAAAATGTATGATATCATAATTTTCAAAATAATTTCACGTAAAGCCTAATATTTATTTATATGTATCAGATTCGCAGATATTTCTACTTTATTCTCACAAAACTACAGCTTTCATCCTTTTCTAGTGGAGCTACTAATGTTTAAGCTGTCTAAATTTTATATTTTTTTCATTTTATTTTAATTTTATTTATTTTACTACTTGTTATAATAGTAGTATGTTATTACCAGGTCTGGGTTTTCATGCAATACTTAAAATTCTGCTGCAATATCTTCAAGATTATAAATCTAGATCCGCCTTTTACAGTATATATTATAGCAGCACTATTATAGACTTAATACGAAAAGGATATAATTCGTTTTCACTACAATTTCTATACTTTTTATATTAAGTAATACAAATACAGATACGTATGTATGTATGTATGTATGTATGTATGTATGTGTATATATTATTCACCTAGATATTCACATATTTAAATATTTTTTTATTTTTATTTTTTGTTTTTATTTTATTAAGTTGATTTTTTTCATGCAACACTTGGTATTTTTTCTTGTCTTTGTTTTTAGTATTTTTATTTTATTTAATTTTTATTGAACATTTCTTATTCTCTTAGTTAATATTGTATTATTCTTTTTATTTTATTTTTGATTTAAAAATAGCTTTTAGCTGAACACGCAACAAGAATTTGTATAAAAATCTTCTTCTTTTTTTGGGCGAATGGACCAATAAGAAAAAAAAAATCAATGAGAACAAATAAAAAAATAAAAGTTAAAAAGATCTAATGAAAGCGAAAAATCTATTATAGATACACAATTTTTCACAAAATTATTGTGAATTGATTTAACTATTCCATTTTATTTTATATTTTTAAATCGGTATAATTACTTTTATTTTATAAATATTATTATTGTTATTGATGTAGCAGTTTTTATTGCTTCTTTAATTTCTCAGATGTTTAAATTTAAAATACAATTTTCGACGTTTTGTAAAAACATTATCGTTTCTTATTTTATTCTGTATTAAGAATTTTAATCCGAAAAATATTATATACATATAAAAATTTTTATGTTCATATGTATATGCAAAGGTATGTATGTATGTTGTATATATTCCAACAATAGGTTTTCAGTTGGTTCAGTCTGCTTAAAATGAATAGTGACGAACGAGTTGTGCCGCAATTCTACTTGTGCGTGAACGAACGAACTAAAGAAAATGTGAAAATCGACTAAAGTTTTGAATAGCATCTGCAGACAAATATCCTAAAAATAAATTAGAATGGGAGAAAGAGATTCGAAATTTTTGAAATGAAAATTAAATAATGTGTTTGAAAAATGGGGAAAGATGCACGTCACCCTGACAGATTTTTTTATTTTTTAAAAAACTTTATATTGTGTACCTACTGATTATTTTATTCACATACTTTAATTAAATAAATCTACAAGTTAACTATCATGTATAGATCATATATATACATACATATATATATTTACAATCAAACTTTCAATTTTAAAAATATAATCTCATTCGATATTTTGGACATGGGCAGCAATTGCATACAAATATTTAATTTTTTGGTCATGTTTTCTTTTAATTAAAAGATACTCTCACAATATCATGCCTCAGCTGTCATATACTCTCAGTTATTTTTATTTTTTCTCTTTCATTTCTTATACTGATATATATCATTCTTCAATGTGTTTCTTATTTCTAATTATTGAAATATTTATGTATGTGTGTATATATGGGTGGACATGTATGAGATCAATATGAAATTTCGATACTTACAGACAGAGTTATTGTAAATCAATAGAAATACTGATTATATATAATGTCGAATCAGCTATTAATATTAAGGATGTTTGTGAGCAAGACGAAAAATGGAAATTTCGAAAGTTAGCACTATTTCGAAATATCCATTTTCAACTCCTGTTCACAAGTTGATTCGAAATTCCTTATTTAATCGATTAACATGTATCTATGTATGTATCCAAATTTTCATAAGTGTCCATATGTACATACATACCTACATACTTAAATTAATAAAAATCTATGAAAATAAAAATGAATTAAATTTTGTAAAAAGAAAACAGGATTAAAGTATTTGGTTTCATATTACTGCCAAAACAATGGAAACTTTGGTATTATCGTAACAAAAACGGTCTGAATTCGTTAATTCTAAATCGGGACATTAAAACAATTACTTTGGATTTCAAGAGAGAAATGCATTTTTGTAGTTTAAAAAATAAAAATGATAATTAATGGATTCTAAGACAACACCGATTGAAATGTCAGTGTAAAATTTATGAATACATTTGGAAGAAAAGTGTCAAACTTTGTCGTCTGAAATTTGTTTTTTTTTTTTTTTGCACCAAATGTGGTTTTATTTTATTTAAGGTATTTTCAGACTACAACCCAGCAAAATATAATTGATGTCATACTTTACAAACAACATCACATCTAAAAATGCGATTATGAATTTTGATGAAAAACCAATGAAATTTACACAATCGTCTTATTGATTCTTACTGCTTCAAAAATATTATTTAAGAATTAAACCAATGAAATTTACATAAGCGTTTCATTGAAAGAATGTGGTTACTAGTTCCTAGCAAGTATATTTTGCATTAGTGCAAAGTGAATGTCACTTGCATGACTTTTTTAACATTAGTGCTAATATAACTCATTCTAAATGCCTTCTTAAATTCAATCTATTCTGTAGTTGGCAAATTTCATTAAAACTTCAAAAATTAGATCAAATATATAAATTTTATCAAGTCCCAGCAAAAAATAATTGATGTCACCCGAATTTGAAGCACTTCTACCAAGCAAAAAAAGTGTGGAAAAATATGTAGTATTTTCATAACAACCCATAAAAAAAGGGTGGAAAAAGATGTAGAATTTTCATCACAACTAGTAACCCGAAGTACTTCAAATTCGGGTGAAAAACCTATAAATTTTACATTAGCGTGTCATTGGAGGGATGTTGTTCATTTTTGACAACTTTGAACTACATCTAATCTTATCTTTAGAAGCTGTAAAAATCCGATATTTGTATGTCAAAAATAAACCACATTCTTTCAATGAAACGCTTATGTAAATTTCATTGGTTTTTCATCAAAATTTGAAGTACATACTTCGAATATGTTGTTTGTAGTGACTTTTCTACATGTCTTTCCTCATTTTTAACTGTGTTTTCATTTGTAAGGATATGTTTGGTTTATAAAAGCGAAAAGTATGCAATCGCATTTTTAGATGTGATTAAGATGTTGTTTTGTAAAGTATGACATCAATATTTTTTTGCTGGGTGATTACTAGTTGTGATGAAAATACTACATCTTTTTCCACACTTTTTTTGCTGGCATGTTATTAATGTGATATTAGAAATAATTTTGGCTTTTAATATTATTTTAATATTGTTCCATATTTATTATAATATTTTCGTTAAAAATATTTAATATATCTTCCAAAAATACATACAAACCAAATACATAGCTTCAACCAATGAAACATCGTTTTCGAATCATCGGATTTGCGTTGGTTCGATTATTCGAAATACTCGCATAAACACATGATCGCCATGTGTTAAAATCATGCATGTTTCACCTAAATTGAACCAATTCATCATCACTTGCACCTCTGATTAAACTGCATCTTTGTCATGTAACTTTTTGCTCGGTTGTGATGAAAATTCTACATCTTATTCCACACAATGTTTGTATCATAATTAATTTTACCAGTTTAAACATAAATTGTAATATTTTTAAAGGTATTTTCAGACTACAATACTGAGTATTAACACACTTCAAATTAAAAATATTATGAAAATAATTCGCATTTTCAAAACATCAATCCGAAAAATACATTTTATGTTTACACTATAATATTTGTAATATTTTTTATCCAATTTTCAATTATTTATGCACTTTTCGTTCTTATTTTTAATGTATTTTACACTTTTTGTTTGTTTTTTATTGTATTTATAAAATACATACCGAATACGTTTGAAAATAAAAAGTTTTTGAATTGTTTTAAAAAATTTATGAATACCGACCGTATGCCAAAAAAATCAGTAATATTTTTGAAAATCAAATTACAAATTATATTTAGACTAGTAAATTGTATTATGATACAAACATTTTTGACAAGTATTAATACTCAGTATTGTAGTCTAAAAATACCTTTATTTGAAGTATGTTAATACTAGTGTGATCGATTATTCGACATTTTCCAAAAACCGGTTTTCGAATAGTGAATAGTTGACATTTGAAAAAAACCGGTTGACATTTTTCAAATTCAGAAAAATCCGGTTAACCGGGTTTTCATTAAAAATAACAAAATCTATTTTAATTTGAAAAAAAAAAAACTTTTATGTTTAAATTTGATTAATAAAACATGGCCCGAACTGATTTTTAATAGTTTAGAACACAGGAGTTTAATATTGAGACAATTGTTACCCCTTTCACGCACAAAACTAAACCGCTGGACTTTTTATGGATATGACTACACCACACATTTTATTTTGACGTATACTGATAATTTTTAATGAAAAATGAGAAAAATGTTTTCGAAGAATTTCGCAGGATATTATCCTTTTTAGCATGTAGTGACATCAAATTCTAAAAAATAACTTATTTTTCTTAGGAAATAACCATTTACTGTAGCTGTGAACTCAAACTTACGCTAAAAATCGAGAAAAATTTAAGAAAAAATTTTGGGACACCGGTGTCCCGTATACGTGAGAGTTATAGGCATTCCAACACGTCCATAATATTTTAGTCGCAAATTAATTATTGTAATTGGAATATAATCTTAAGATTGAAAAAATTTTATCAACAGAAATTCCAATAAATTTTACAAATAAAATTTTTTGATTAATTTATAAAAGGTGTTTTAGAAAAATATTCTCTAGTTCCTGAACTCCAATATTTTTAAAATTTATACGGGCTGTATTATTATTTACTTCAAAATTTAATTTAAGAAATCTTTGAATACACAGCAAATAAAAGTATTCGAAATCGGTCTTTAAAAGGTAAAAAACCGGGTTATTCGATATTCGAAAAATCATCATTTAGAAAAAACCGACACTGGTAAAACAGAAAAAAACCGGTTGAAAAACCGAGTCGATCACCCTAGTTAATACTCAGTATTGTAGTCTGGAAATACCTTTACCAACAAAAAAATTTTGCAGTAGTGCAAATTGAATGCAAGTTTCATGACTTCTTTAATATCAGTGCTAAAACAACTCATTCTAAATGCCTTCCCAAATTCAACCTATTCCGCAGTTAAAAAATTCCTTTAAAACTTCAAAAATTAATTCAGATTGTTAATTTAATCAAATGAAATTTATGTGTTATTAGAAATATTTGAGATTTTAATATTATTTTATATATTTTCCCATATTTATTATATTTTCCTTAAAAATATTTAAAATATCTTCCAAAAATACATAAAAAAAAATAGCTTGAACCAATGAAACATCGTTTTCTAATCATTAAATTGCATTGGTTCGGTTATTCGAAATTCTCGCATAAACACAATGACACGCTAATGTTAAAATCATGCATGTTTCACCTAAATCGAACCACTTCGTCATCACTTGCACCTCTGATTAAACACATCTTTGTCATGTAACTTATTGCTGGGTATCTGAACGTAAAACTTATCAATTACACAACCAAAGATGAAAAAAATGTTCATATATTTTCACTAATAGAAATGTGTACCCGATTATGGTCGATAGGTAAAGTTTAATAAAAATTAAAAAAAAAAATAAATTTTCAAAATTAAATTTATTTTTAAAACGTTATGTACCCAGCAAAAACTCGGTAATGGGTTGTACTTCCATAACCACTTACTTTTCAATGACTACTACTTACCGTCTGCATTACTTAGAAGTACTCTAATAATGAATTTCTTATAATCTGATATAGATGTACTTTATTTTCGGCTTTGTCATTTTGTTTGCACATTTTATTTAATTGGGTGTTAAGAATTGTGTTTTACAAAAAAGAAAACAATATTCCACTTACATGTATGTGAAAACCATTATTTGACGCGCAATAAAATAGCTAAGGTGGTGCAGTGAGTAGAACATTTGACAAATAAACCAAAGTCCCTGGTTCGTATTCTAGCTGGCTCTTTTCATTATTAAAAAATAAAACAACATACTCAACAACTGTTTTGTAAGAGAAATTGCAAGTACTTCTCTAACTCCCTATTTGTAAGCGAGCGTGGATGTACTTGCCTCCAA